AACATTTATTCATTGAGGAAAAGTTGTTGAGGTCTTACTATGTACCAGTTGCTGATGAATCCAGCAGTGAACAGAGCAGATAGATATCCCTGCATTCAAGGAGCTTACCTTCTATTGGGAAGAAACCGACATGAAAGAAACAAACAAACCTATAAATGAGACCACATGGCGCATGGTGAAAACAGAGAAAATAAAGCAGGGAGTGGGGTGGACAGTGGCAGGGGTACCAGAAGGGACGTGGCTGCTCTCCTCTTTCAGGAGGTATCCTCTTCCTTGGGTTTTCTTTTCTTCTGGCAGTAGTCGCGTGTTCCTCCCTCAACTCCAGTTCTCTCACATAGTTGTGCCCAGTGGTGCTGATGAGCTGTAGGGGTGTAGCTCATGCTGTGTGGTCAGTGTTGTTGTGGCCCAGGCACTGTCCCCAGACCAGCCCAGCAGCTGCTCCTTTTCCCCAGGGCCAGCCAGCTGCAGACCTGGCTGGCATTTTTTATTCCTCCTCCATCCTTCCTGCTTATGAGTGGAGTAAGAAAAAACAAAATGTTTGTTTCAGTCCAGCCTAACTAAAGGTATAAATCTGAAGTTTGATTAGTAAATGATCAGTCATTAGTCCTAAAACTGAGCAAATGCCTTTTCTTTCCTTAACCAGATTTAAATTCCTAGAAGGTGGGAGCTGGATCTCATCTCATTGAAACCTCCCCACAATGCATGTCTTGCATGTGAACAGCAGGTGCAGCCCCCATAGTAGAAAGAGCCCAGGCTTTGGAACCAAACATCTGATTTTGAATCCTGCCTGGGCAAGTGCCTTAGCCTCCCTCAGCCTCAGTTTCCTTATCAGTAAAATGGGAATAAACTCCCACCTTGCAGGGTGGTTGTGAGGATCAGACAGAATAAATAAGACGTGCTAAAGTGCAGGCAGGACATCAAGGACCCTCTGTGATACCTCCCATAGTGCCCCAAGCCCAGCAATTACTAAGGAAATACCAAACAAGGAATTCTTGGTGATAGGAATCACCTGGTAAAGATTACCGTTCTCATTTTTTTTTTCCCATGCTGCAACAAAAAAATCTTCAACTCTTTGGGAAATTTTTCAATAAATACATAAAGGTACACACAATCTTTCTTATGTTCAAAACATGAATCTTAAGGTTTAGTTACCTAGCAAATTGATAATAATACCTTATTGGGGGGAGTGTGAATAAAAGTGTGCTACCATACCCCAACTGAGAAATATAAAGTTGAACAGCCTGTTTGAAGGTCACTTTGGCAGTACATATCAAATATTAAAATATTAATACTTCTTAGACCAAGGAATTCTACTTAAGGAATCTGCCTTACAGAAATATCAGCACAAATTCACTTAGCGTGTTCACTAAGACACTTTTTGTAGTAGCCAGGCACTGGAAGTTATTCTAGTGTCCATCAGTTGGGAATTAACTAAATCAGTGTGGTTCATCCCGATCGTAGGATACTAACTCTGCAGCCATTAAAAAGAATAAGTGACTTTGGGGGGATAGAAATGTTTTGGAACTAGATAGAGGTGGTAGCTGCACAACCTTATGAATGCACTAAATGCCACCGAATTGTTCACTTTAAAAATGGTTAATTTATGTTATGTGAATTTCACATCAATAAATAATCTTATTAAAGAGTGAGTCTTATATACTAATACAGAAAGATATTGTTGAAGAGTGACTATAATCAACAATAAGTTATCATATAATTTAAAGGAGTAGAATTGGAATGTTCCTGACAAAAGGAAGTGTTAAATGCCTGAGGTGATGGATACCCCAGTTACTCTGATTTGATGAATTCACACTGTATGCCTGTATCAAAACATCAGAACTCTTTAAAGATACTATTATGTGCCCATAATTAAAAATTTAAAATTGAAAAAAAATTTTAAAATATCGTTGAGTAGAAAGAGAAAACATTCTGTTTTCTGTGAATGTTAGCAAATGCATAGAATAAGTTTAGAAAGATCTAGAACAAACTTAACAGTGGTTACTTCCAGGAAGTGAACTTGAGAAAATGAGGGGATTTGTACTTAATTTTATATTTTTGTAATGTATGAAAATTTAAAGTTAACATAAATTATTTTCAGACTGGTGGGGGACTTTGAAGTTGGTCAAGGACTGAAAATGCAACAAAGTGAGCGGTTGATTCTCTCTAGTGAAAGTGGAAATTGTGTTTCATTTTGAATTTTCTTCTTTGTGTTTTCCTTTCTTTCTGCTGTTTAATTTCTGCCCTGGCTGGCATCAGAACCACAAACTGAGTTGAGCCAGTTACTCGATGACTCACTGCGCTTGTTTTGACCTTTTAGTGCTTGTGGCTAATTGATTCTAAGTGCTAGGAATCTCCATGCATTTAGTTACTAGTTACTGTTCATAAGGGTCTGTTTTTAAAAGATCATAAGGATTTGTGAGATACCATTAGTGAAGTGTATATTTGGTGCCAGTGCTTTCTTGATCTCGCACGCTAGACTGGTCCAGCAATCATGAGCTCATTAATGAGCCTGGGAGCTCACTCTCTGGATGCCTGTGCTTGCCTGAGGGGCTTGTGTTGCTACTTGCAAACTGAGCTAGCTTCCTGCTTCCAGAAGGTTGTTGTAATACTCTGAAGCTCCTTGGAAGTTGTTTTTAACATTTTTCATTTATTCATTTTTCTTAAGTCATAAAAATTTGTGAAGTAGAACAGAAATCACCTATAATCAATATGAAAAAAACAATAGAATTTGGTGGCATTCCCTTTAGATCTTTGCTCATGTGCATTTTTTGCGTAACTATAAAGTGTTCATATATAGATTTTTCATTCTGATCTTATTTTAACTTACATAGAAGGAATTTTTAGCTGTTAAATTATCTTAGAATTGACTTAGTGGCCAGGTCATATTCCATCCAGCAGGTAATTATAACTTATTTAACAATGCCCTTATGTTGAATAGTTCTTTTAAAAATTTCCTTTACTTTCTAAAATTTTATTGTTGAATCTCAAAATAATTAGGAGCTTCCTTAGAATGTTTTTGTGATGACAGCTCATATATCACATGCAAAATCAGTTCCTGCCCTCAGGAAGTTTCTGGTTAAGAGCAGGTAACCAGTAAGTATAATAAAATGTAATCATTGCTGTATCAGAGGTATGCCTAAATTGCTCTGGGAGAGAAGGATGGGAGAACATTGGTGAAGGTTTTCTAGAGGAGATGCTGTTTGAGTTATATCCTGAGGACAGTTAGGAATTAGCTAACTACAAAATGAAGGAAACTCATTCCAGGAAGAGAAAATTGCTTGAAGGAAGCACAGAGGGATGGCAAAGCTTGACAATTTAGGGAATGGCAGATAGCCTATTATGGCTGGAGAATAGGAAGCTTGTGGGTGAGTGGCAGGATACAGACTGGTCAGGTTACCAGAGGCTTTCTGTGGCAAGCTGAGGAGTTGAAACTTCACGCTGACAGCCACAGGGGAGCCATGGCAGGGAACACTTGCTAAATAAAAATGTGGTTTTTGAGCACAGCAAATCCTCACTGCTTTAGCAAAGTTTCCCATAAGTATGATGAAATCTAGGTTGCAGACTGAAAATGATACATTCAGCTTTTTTCCTGATCATTTGCATTTGTCATAAGAAAGCTTGTGGGCCGGGCGTGCTGGTTCACACCTATAATCCTAGTTCTCTGGGAGGCTGAGGCTGGAGGATCTCTTGAGCTCAGGAGTTAGAGACCAGCCTGAGCAAGAATGAGACACTGTCTCTACTAAAAATAGAAAAAAAATTAGCCAGTCAACTAGAAATAGAAACAAAATTAGCCGGGCTTGGTGGCTGTTGCCTTAGTCCCAGCTACTTGGGAGGCTGAAGCAAGAGGATTGCTTGAGCCCAGGAGTTTGTGGTTACTGTGAGCTAGGCTGACACCATGACACTTTAGCCCAGACAACAGAGCAAGACGCTGTCTCCAAAAAATAAATAAATAAATAACACACTGTGGTAGCATGTTTCAATCACAAGGGTGGACTTTGGGTGGTTAGACCACTCTTTAGGGACCTCTACTCGGGCCTCTTTGGAAAATACGAAAATACCTCAGGAACAGGCATCGTATGTTGCCAAGATGATATTTGGTATACTAAGATGTGTATTAGTCCAGACTTTCCAAGTTGACAGAACCTCAACTGAGATAAATGTGTACAGAAAGGGAAATGTATCATTAGCCCATGTAACTAAAATGTCTAAGGGTGGGTCTTCCTAGCTTCAGGCACAGGGGGATCCACAGGCTCAAACAGGGTTGGTAAAGCATGCTCCCTTCCTCCCTCCATCAGTCACTGTCTTCATCCTTCATTCTGTTTGTCCCTTTATTCTCTCCTTTAGCAGATTCTTCTGTGTGACCAGAGAGAGTTAGTTGCCGCAGGAAGCTCCTGCTTATGTTATCTCTTGAGCTCACAATCCCAAAGGAATAAAGTCCCTTCTCTCCTCTTTCTCCCATGAATCACATAGCAAATTTTGGGGAATGGTGGATTATTCTGATTGGTTCAATCTGGGGGAGCCCCCCCAAACTATGGGAGATGAGATAACCAAAGACAGTGAGATTCAGTTCTTGGAGGAGGAGAGTAGGAGAACTCCAGATGTTTAAAAATAAATAAATAAATAAAGGCCGTCTACTGCTGTTATCCTTTGTTCTTCTGAAGATGGGAGATGTCCACTGGAAAAAAGTAGAGCTCATTACTTATCCAAGAACTGCCTTCATGGTGACTTTGGCTTGACATGTGCTTGCACTACAGTAAGTACCCTTAGTATCCCAGTTGCACAGAACGGATACTCCCAGCACGTGTGCAAATGCAGCCCCCTGTCCAATTTTCCTTAGCACGTAGGCTCAAGACAATGCCCTGCTTTCCAAAGGCCTTGTGGCAATGTCCCCTTTTTCCTGTGAATGTATGATTTGTGTCCTATCAACGACGGGAAGCTGTTCAAAGGATCCTCCCAGTCCTGCCGCTGCCCCCATGATGGTTGTTTTTCTCATTGTTTAGCGCTCCATTAGCTTCCGCAGCGAGAGCCGCCCTGATATCCTCGCCCCTAGACCCTGGTCCAGAAATGCCGCCCCCTCAAGCACGAAGCGGAGAGACAGCAAGCTGTGGAGTGAGACCTTCGACGTGTGTGTCAATCAGATGCTCACGTCCAAGGAAATCAAACGTCAGGAGGTAGGCTCCCGATCCCTGGAGTGTGTCTGGAACAAAGGTGCACAGCAGGCGAGAGTCGCACTGGGGTCTGTGCCTTGGTCTCGAAGTCACCTCTTTGCATTTGTAGGAGAACAAACTGGGGTGTCTGACCTTATGGAAGGAACTGAGAAACCAGCATCCAGCTGTGTGGGTATGGCCCCATTTTAAAAAGAAACTGATGTGAAAATCTGAATTTACAAGAAAATGAAACCAAGTGTCTATTCAGGATTCTGAAGTTCACAAAAATAATCATTGCAGTCATATTTTGATAGCAACTTCTAGAATATTTTAAAATATTCATTTTGTATAACTTTGGTTCAGCTTCATGGAAAACTTTCCTATGGAGTGCTGTTAATTTCAATCCCTGTAAGTTTTTGGTATCAGTTGCCCTAAATGGCTATGATAATATTACCCTTTATAGAAGGCTTGTCGAAGGGCTTGTGCCAGGCTGTGCTAAGTACTTTGTGTGCATCATCTGGGGAAATCCTTGGAGTATCCAGCCCAAGGCTGTCCTCCAGTTTAGCAATCAACCCCAGGGTGGAGGGCACCCCCAAATCCTCACTTCTTCCCTATAGCCTGAAAGAAACGCAGTGGTCCCTGAATTATCGCCACAGATTTGTAGTCCTTTAATAATGTATTGTTTGCCAATAGTTTGGATTCCCAGATGAGAGTGAAAGAGTGTTCTGTGCGTCATAGCTCTTTATATTATGATGGCTTAACGGAGCCAAATTAGAAACACTGCATTTACACGCTCTTCCACATATAGCCGGCTCCTGTAATTTTATTTCTTGTGCCTTGTGGGGCTGAAAAGTAATTGAGAATGAATTAACTTCACCAGATTTTATTTAGAGTGGTAAAACATTGGATTCTTCCTACAATCCCAGATGAGTGGATGGTAGAAATAAAGCTTTCTGCTGAGATTCACCTTGTGCTGAGTAGAAAGAAGACAAAATCTGATGGCTGAGTTAATAACACTGCCACATCCATTACTGAGAACAGACCCTGAATCACTTACGATTGCCACTCACAACAAAGATGCCGAATCCATGGCTCAAACTGTAATGATTTTACCTAAAATCGTTCCCTGTTGTTCGGCTACATCAAAGTTCTGTAACATGAAAGATGACTTGCTGGATTGGAAACACGTGTGGGGAAACTCTTTCTGCCACAAACAGAGAAGCACATTATGCAGAAGTTTTGCGGTATCTTCTCTTTGCGGGTTTTAGCCACTTCGGTGCACTTGCTTCAGGTTGATTTAACTTTTTGAGAGTACTTTTTAAATATGTAAATATGTAGATTTGGGGCTTTGAGTGCTGGAGCCAGCACTGTTTGAATTGGGTCTTATAAATGAGGGAGAGTTCAGTGAGTATGTTTTATCTTTCCTTGCAGGCAATCTTTGAGCTTTCTCAAGGAGAAGAAGACTTGATAGAGGACTTGAAATTAGCAAAAAAGGTAAATTTAAATCCAGCAATCATTTGAGTCACCTCATGTTTTTTTCCTTTGAGTAATTTCACAATCCTAAAACAGTGCTTTATGGGCACCCTCTTTCGGACTAAGACAGGTCATCAAAAATTGAGAACAAAGCAGTGAGGAAAATACCTCAAAATAAGAAGGCAGAATAGCTCTCTGGACCTGGCACCTTTAGGGGTTCACCTATGCTATCTCTAATCACCTCAAAGACTACTTCAGTTAAATTCAGAAAGTATCCATGGATGCCTGGCTTTATGTGTATTTCATTGTCCTAGAAGTCTCACATGCAGGGTCTCTTTGGTCATGGGAGAGAATGTGTGCATGTCTGAAATTTAGTGCCCTGTGTATTCTTGTTGTTTAATTATCTTTAATAAGAGGTGATAGGATTGGCAGAGGTTTTGCCCTCATTGCTTCAAACTGTGTCTTAGGAATAAAGTCATTTGAATCTTGAAAGTAGATAAAGCAGTGAAGTGAAACAATTGTATGCAATCACATAAGTTAGACTCTTTTATATGGAAACTTGTTTTTTTGATCTACATTGTGTGTGGGGAGGAGGAGGAAATCCATGCCTTGTAGCCTGTTTGTTCTTTTTATTTGTTTTTTTAATTTTTTTGGTAGGGCTCAGCATCAGAATATAAAGCCTGTGTATTCTTGACAACAAAGCTTCCTCAAAAACCTTTGCATTCCAGTGACTACCCCACCCCCCAGTGCCTTGGAGGCTAAAATCCAAACTCCTTCATCTGATATTGGCCTTCTCAAAGAATCACAGGTACTAGAGTGGTGGCTCACACCTGTAATCCCGGTACTTTGTGGGGGCTGAAGCAGGAGGATCGCTTGAGGCCAGGAGGTCAAGACCAGCCTGGACAACATAGTGAGACCCCCATCTCTATAAAAAAAATTTTTTTAAATTAGCACAGGTGCAGTGGTGTACACCTATAGTCCTAGATTCTTGGGAGTTTGAGACAGGAGGATCGCTTCAGCCCAGGATTTTGAGGCC